CGGAGTGGAGCCTAAGCAGGACCCGGAGTGGAGCAGCCGCCGCCATGGCGAGTGAGTCCCTGGGGGCAGCCCGGGTTGCGCCGGAATGGAACACAGTCCCCCTTTCCCCTCACCGGTCCGGGCAGGTGCCCGCCCACCAGGCCTGCCCGGATCCCAGGCCCTCGGGATTCCCACGAGTTCTGGTACTCGGTCTGCTCCCCTGCCCCCTGCCCCAACACAAGCTGGGCGGAAGGCTTACCCGGGTAGCGCGAAAGGTTCTCCGAGCCCTAAATCTTCTTTTGTTTTTTCCATCAAAGTCAAGTTTCTGGAAGTCATCAAACCCTTCTGTGTCATCTTGCCGGAAATCCAGAAGCCCGAGCGAAAGGTAAGTCCCCAATCGCTGTCAGGAAGGCTTCGTGGAACTCGGGATGCTTGAAGTTTACAGTACAATTAAATATGGCTTCAACACGCCAATGGGAACTCTCTCCCTCCTCTTCCCCCTGGAGGATAGTTGTATGCACTCCTGAGCTTTGTCGAAAGGTGACCTCCTCGTGTGGGAATTTCCACCTAAGTCATCGTGCTTTATTCGGAGCATCCTTTGTGGATGTTACTCCAGGGAGCAAAGCCTCGAGTTTGCCCTGTGCCAAAAATTGACCCTGGCAGTGAATGAGTAAGGCCTCAAAAGCCCTGGGATCCTCAGGTTGGGCTACCCTTCCCTCTTCACCTCCAACAGGAGCAGATGCAGTTGGGTTTTTTTTCTAGGAGAAGCTCTTTGTAGCCAGCTGCTAAGAGGAGCTAAAAGCAGTCGCTTTATTCTGACCGAAAACTTTGTATGTAGGCTGCCAAATCACCTGAGAGTGAAGGCATTTTGTGAACCCTGCTTTTTACAGCAGGTGCATTAAAACGTGGAAAAAAATAGAAGTGTAGACTTCTATTGCATCTTTCTCAGGATTTCTGCTGCTACCTGGATAGCTACAGGCCAAGATAGTGAGTGTTGCTGTCATTGGGTTCTTAAAGAATAGGAATATATTTTGTCTTCACATTCTTTTCCGACTGTTGTTCATGCATTCACATATGTGTACTTGACATCAACATAGACACTTGGGTTCTTGGAGTGTCTTTTCTTTTGTGTGTGTGGTCTTTGTTTTGTATAAATGCCCCACATAGGTATTGCCTTTGATGGGCAAATAGGCAAAGCCCTTCCCCTGTCACCCCCACCCCCACCCCACCCCACCCCCAGCATGGTAGAAAGGTCATGGCTCTGGAGGCAGGCAATCCTGGGACCCACCCTTCCCACAACCACTTACTAGCCGAGTGACATGGATTGGCCTTGTAGCTTAAGTGTGATAGATGGAGCAGTGGCTTCAAAAGGGGTTAACTCTGGCAGATGTGATTTCTGATGGTGGTTTTGCAGGAAGAATAGAAGTTTTCGTGAAGTGAGGGAGAGGAATTTCAGGCATAAAGAATGTGTAATGTGCAAAGGCAATGAAGACAAGCAGGTTGGAACACAAAGGGTAGGTGGGAAGCAATAGGAGCCAGACATTAGAAGCTTGCCTTGGAAGTAGGGTAGAGGATTGGAGTGGTTTAGAGGCTTTTGCAATAGAGAGTGATCTACGGGAGTGGGCTAGGAGGTAAGGCTAGATTTAGAAGCTGTTTAAAAGGTAGAGTAGACAAGACTTGAATAAACAGCTTTTGATGCTTTGCTGTTAAATTTGGCTGCATCCATGAAAGACTTGGTTATTAACAAATGAGGAGTCTTGTAAAAATTGTCCACTCTTTTTTCCTATAAAAAATCATTTCAGCCCTGGCCAGGTGGCTCAGTTGGTTGGAGTGTTGTCCCACACACCAAAAGGTTTCAGGTTAGACCCTGGTCAGGGAGCATATGGGAAGCAACTGACCCGACCCAACCGACTGATATTTCTCTCCCACTTCGATCTCTCTCTCTCTCTCTCTCTCCCCCTCCCTCCCTCTCTCCCTTTCTCCCTCCCCCCCTCTCTCTTTCTCCCCTCTTTTTTCCTACCCTCCCTTCCTTCCTCTCCCCTCCCTTCCTCCTTCCCTCCCTCCTTTCCTCTCTCTCTAGGAATTAATTGAAACATATCCTCATGTGAGGATTAAAAAAAGTCATTTCAAAGAACAAGTTTTGTTTACACAAGGCATTTCCACATAAAGATCCTTATTCTGCACAATATTACTGTGTTTTTTAAGCCTTTTAAAGCTATTCTTGCAGTATAGGCAGCAAGTACTAACAAAGACACTGAGTTTTAGAAGCAGAAGACCCAGAAGAATTCCCACTCTACTGCTTAGCACAAGAGGCGCCTTGGGCAGGGCATCTAAACTTTTCTAATGGTTCTTCGTAGTCATCTGTAAAATGCTTCTGAAATGTAAACCTATCCTGCTTACATACCTGAAGAGATGTGAAAAGTCTTAGACGCTACTAGCAGTTAGTGAGTGGGTTAAACCTGCAACTCTCCTTGCCCTCCTGCCCCATATTGTTTATTACATTGTTTTATCCTTAATTCATAGAAAGTATACGACGTATTAAACAATCACAAATTCCAAATTGGCTGACTCCAAAATAACAAGATTTCGTCAGTTACAAAACCCTTTCAAGTGAATGATGATAGCTCATATATTGTAAAGGTTTGTCTGGTTTAGGAATCTGTTTCTATTGCAACATTTTTTGATCTTGGACTTGATCCTAAACTGTTTATACTAATGGTTAAGAGCACATGCATTGGACTCAAACTCACTTCAGCTATGGGTCTCAGGAGAAAACTCAGTTTTCTCATTGTTAAATAAAAATAGGAGCTGCCAAAACCGGTTTGGCTCAGTGGATAGAGCGTCAGCCTGCGGACTGAAAGGTCCTGGGTTCGATTCCGGTCAAGGGCATGTACCTGGGTTGCGGGCACATCCCAGTGGGGGATGTGCAGGAGGCAGCTGGTCGATGTTTCTCTCTCATTGATGTTTCTAACTCTCTCTCTCCCTTCCTCTCTGTAAAAAAATCAATAAAATATATTTTTAAAAAAATAGGAGCTATGTAGTTCAAGGGTCCAATGAGATGATGCATATAAAGGTCTTTGCATATAGAAAACCTGCAGTACATGTACTTGTATTTTGACACTAATGTTTGGTACATGTTTTGGAGTACAAGGCTTACCTTTCTGATGAACAGAAAAAAGGGTCTAATCTGAGTCGATTTCTATTAATTTGCTTATGAAAATAACTTCTTGCCTTATTTCTTTCTCTTCTACACAGATTCAGTTTAAGGAGAAAGTGCTATGGACCGCTATTACCCTCTTTATTTTCTTGGTGTGCTGCCAGGTAAGCCCGATTTCCCGTTCCTGTATGGAGGTGGGGGTCAGAGAGGGCTGGAGACGTGTGCTGACTCCTTTTCTCTATGCTTGTTTCCAGATCCCCCTGTTTGGCATCATGTCTTCAGATTCTGCCGACCCTTTCTATTGGATAAGAGTGATCCTAGCCTCTAATAGAGGTAGAACTCTGGCTCTCTGTACCTCTCTCTGTACAATGTGGGCTTGACTGACCTTCTTTAGTTAAATTACAGGCTTTGGCTTTATGTGGAGCTCAGAGAGTGTTTGGGAAGAATGTCAGTGTGCTGTGCTGAATAGCCTTAGTAAATGCCGAATTCAGCATCGAGGCATGTCATCATATTCAGAATTGCATCTGAATGCAGTATAAAACCTGTAATATCAAGGTTGAGTATGTCGTAGAGAATAGGAAAAACTAGAATATTTTTTATACAACTGAAATAATGATATTTCTACCTGTCTTTCTTGTGTTTTGATAACCTTTAGAATATGTAATTTGTTTCTCAGCTGCATCTTTTTCATATCTATAGGTTACATCATTATATATATCAAAATATGTAACAGTGTTTTGTACACTCTAAATTCCTTAGGGGGGCGGATTTTATGTCAGTACCACTTTCAATTAACCTATTTTTTAAATATAATATAGTTCAAATAAAGTTTCAAAACAGTTGGAAGTATTTTAGCGTAATGGAAGTAGAAGTTTATTCACAACTAGATACAATTGTATAGGCATCCTTTTCAGACTCTGGAATTATTTGAATGCTAATCCTTTTTATTACCTGAGAAAGAGACAAACCTTTCTTATCTCTGTAAAACCAGAATGAATCTGTTTATGGTGAATATAAATGTAGCTATCTGTTTAAAAGCCATGTGACTTCGGAAACAGAATAAGATGTGGTCTGGCCGACTGAATAGAGTGAATTGAATTATACTGTAATCGTTGATATTTTGGGGTTATTTTCTAAATTAAATGCTGCTAGCAAACTGAAGCACACTAGTTTTGTGTAAGGGGTACAGTCAGATTTTGCTCATTCATTTTCTTAATAATATGTTTTCCAAGCTAATATGGGCTGTGTTTTGCCTCCCCTGTCCTCAGGCACATTGATGGAGCTGGGTATCTCTCCCATTGTCACCTCCGGCCTCATCATGCAGCTCTTGGCTGGCGCCAAAATAATTGAAGTTGGTGACACCCCAAAAGACCGAGCCCTCTTCAATGGAGCCCAAAAGTGTAAGTGAGATTTTCAATGATGTTCAAATGTCAATAGTTGAGAATTTGAATTTTCTATAAAGTTTGGGGCATCAAAACAGTTTTTCCTTTGTACCGTGTAACTTCCTTGGCCCACCATTCCTGCAGGTGCTCCATGGCCTGTGTTAGCAAGAAAGCACTTCTCAGGCAGGGCCATTGGCTGGGGCCTGTGATACGCTGCTTCAGTGAGGGCCTCAAATGTGGCCACTTGGGCACCACTCCTCCAGCTGCCCAACACTATGTGCCAGTAGTGCAGCCCCAATTCCTCTTGTGCTTTTGGGCACTGCTCTGAGCAGTGTGTCACCCTTTAAACCAGAGTACTGGTGGGCTCTATGGGGAAAAAACAAAACAAGAAGAAAGTGGAGGAGGTGCAAGAAGAGAAGGAAGAGGAATGTAGTGGGCAAAGTGCTCGGCCGTTGAGAGGTAATGGCAAAGGTGGGGTACCTGCTCAAGTGGAAGGGGTTCTCAGAGGGAGGCAACGCACGGGAGCCAGAAGAGAACCTGGATTGCCCCAACCTCACAGCTGAGTTTCTATAGTCACGGAAAACAGCATATGAGACAGAGAAGTCAGAGGGAGGCAAGTGCAAAGCTAACTCTGATTCTGAAGCTAAGGGAGAGGAGAACAAATGGAAGAAGAAAGAAGAGTCAAAAACGCCAAGGCTTTGCCTGGGGTTTGGAGCCCAAGTACATTATTAGAGCTGCAGAATCCAGTGGAGAACTCATGTTTGATGAGGCTGACCTGGTCCCTGCCAAAGAAGCCACTGTCTAGTGCCCCCAGGTTGTCATATCCTTCTATGCTCATGTGACATTCCTACTCCTCAGAAGATGGTGACAAAAAACTGCTGGGACCAGCCCCTGTCACATCTGACTGTGGGTTTCAGGTGGGGAGGGGAAGAGTTCTACTTGTCTTGAAGCTGTAGAGGTGGCTTGAGAAGATGTCCTTTAAAGAGCCAGTCTAGTTTCTGTGCCCTACAGCAGCCCAGTGCTTTAAAGCTGTTCCATGCTGTACAGTGTGCACACCCATCCCCGTGGAGGGGAAGAAAGATCAGTGTTTTGAGGCAACCCATTCTGCACTTTGGGGAGAAAAGCAAAGGGCCTTCTATGAAGGAAAAAAACTTACAAGCCAACGTGTTCCCAATAAAGAACTAAACCCATTGATGAGTTACCAAAGCTGCCATTTTGGGGATGGAAACTGGTTGAGAAGGGAAAGTCTTTCATTGAAGCATATACATAGTTAGATTATTCTGTCTTAGAGGTGCTAATTCTTGAAATTGACAAGAAGACCCTTTTCTAATTATGAAGTTACAGATTATCCATCAAAACCACTTGGCTGAGGTATTTGGGGAGGCGAAGAAGGTAGCATAAGAGGTGGGTTTTTTGTTTTGGGGTTTTTTCTTATTGATTTTAGAGAGGGAGCAGGGAAGGAGAGAGAGAAAGACATTGGTTTGTTCCACTTATTTATTCATTCATTGGTTGCTTCTTGAATGTGTCCTTACCGGCGATCGAACCCACAATCTTGGCATATCGGGATGATACTCTGACCAACTGAGCTATCGGCCAAAGCGTCTCTCTGTTTTTTAATGTTGAACTATGAAACCATTAGTGGCAGGGTTCAGTCACTGAGCACAAGTTCATCAAGTCACTTTAAGAGTTGGATTATTTCAAAAGTCCTGGTCTCAGGAGAAGATTAAACTTTCATACTGGGACAGTGGTTCACTTTAGAGCACAAAACAAAATAAAAATTCTTTTTTAATCCTAAGAATTAACTAATACCCAAAATGCTGTCTTGACTTATGAGATCCATCAGTTCTTGACATTATCTAGACCTGCATCTAGAACTCCATCGTAAATCTTTTTAGACATCTGTTAAGTGTTTGTGAAAATTTTGTTTAAATGTAAACTTCATACTACATTGTCAGTTTCTTATTAATACTATATCGATTTATAATCCCTAACAAAAGACAGAAAGAAAGCGCTCTGGGAGAGGCATGGTGCAAGGTACTTGGATGGGCTGGACAAGGCAGGTGGGAGGATGTCCATTGCCCCAAGGCTGCACGATTGAGTGGAAGGAGCAGGGCTTGGCGGTCTCCCTCCACCAACCGATCGATGTCCTTACCACTTAGGAGGAGATGATGTGTACTTCAGAGTTATTGTAGGAATTCAGTAGAATAACGTTTGTAAACACACTCAGTGCCTGGCACTTAATAGGTATTTGGCAGATACTGTTTTTCTTCTGGGAGTTTAAAAAGATTCAACTCGGGAAAGTTGATTCTCCCAACCCCGTTCTACTATTTACTAGCTTATGACCTTTGGACAGAGTTAGGTGACAGCTATGACAGCTTTTACATCTCAGTTTCTTCATCTGGAAAAAATGGGATTAACAATAGTTACTTTGTAGCAAATAAGTGTCACTAGTAACAATGACCAGTCATCAAAGTGATCCATGTTCAGCCTCTGACTGAACTGAAATGCATTAATTAGGAAGTGATATTTACAGTTTTCTATCCAGCTATATTTTCTTCCACACCAGAAGAAATCTTTTTAACTTAGTAGATTAAATAATTGAGCAAAAAATAACAATGTAATTTACACTTGTCAGTTTTAGACATAAATTAGAATTTTAAAATATATACATGAATTATTTTTAAGCACAGATTTGTCTGTTTTATCTTTGGTCTTGACAATTTTTTAAATTTCTTCTGCTTAGAGAATTCAGTTTCATTGAGCAGTTCTTTAAAAGTCAAATGAAAATTACATATGGGTACTCTGGAGCACAATTTTATTTTACTAATTAGGTTTGACAAACTAACCAGAAAAGCTTGAAACCCATGCCCTTACTTAGAGATTCATCTAGTAATGTGGAACCAGTAAAAATGTGTTGATTCCATTTTGCCTAACAATGAAGTATAATGATATAAGACACGCGGATAGTCTACACAAAGCAAAGCTTCCATTAGGCCAAGAGAGCTTGTGGCAGAGGAAATGGAACAAGTGACTAAGTTACTGATGGCATGGTGAGGTTTTTCCTTTTAAAAAACCACATACATCACATACAAACTGGGAACCCCTTTATCCCAGAGTTAATCGTCCTTGTTCTGGACTCAGACCTGGATGATAAGCTTGCAGAGGTGGCCCAGGCATGTCGTTCAGCTCAGGAGCTCTCCACAACCCCAGCAAGCTGATCTATCTGAGGGTGGGTGCCGTGGGGTAGTGACATCACCACATCGTGTGCCTCGGGATACTGTCTTTAGTAGATTTTGCTCCTTGACTTGTCTTCCATAGAACAGATTTGTCATGTTCCAGCTCTTCCTCTTCCCGTCTCTGAAGGGAAAGTGAATTTAGGAGGTGAAATGAAGGCGCTCGCCTGCTTCTGTTAATAGGCATTTGAGTTTATTGTGTGCTTTGACAGTGTAACTTTTGGGTGTTTCTTGGACCAAGCTCCTTGAGGCACTATCAGTATACAGATAAAAATAGATGTTTTTATTGGTTTGAGAGAAAGAGAGAAACAGTGATGTGAGAGAGAAACATCCATCTGTTGCCTCCCCCATGCACCCTGACTGGGGATCGAACCCAAAACCTGGGCATGTGCCCCGACTGGGAATTGAACTGGCAACCTTATGGTGCTCAGGACAACACTCAACTACTAAGCCACGCCCTAACTGGTTTGGCTCAGTGGATAGAGTGTCGGCCTGCGGACTGAAGGGTCCCAGGTTCGATTCCGGTGAAGGGCACGTACCTTGGTTGCAGGCCCATCCCCAGTGGGGGGCGTGCAGGAGGCAGCTGATCAATGTTTCTCTCTCATCGATGTTTCTGACTCTCTATCCCTCTCTCTTCTCTGTAAAAAATCAATAAAATATATTTAAAAAAACAACAACAACTGAGCCACACCAGCCAGGGCGGCAGTATCAGTATGATTCATCTTTGTTCTTAGTGCTTTGTACAGAGTAGGTGTTCAATAACTGTTTCCTCTATGACTGTGTAATATCCCACTTTGAGAACATAGTTTTCTTTTGATTTCTAGTATTTGGCATGATCATTACCATTGGCCAGTCTATTGTGTATGTGATGACGGGAATGTATGGGGACCCTTCTGAAATGGGTGCTGGAATCTGCCTGTTAATCACCATTCAGGTAATTGTTATGCTGACATTCTCCCCTTCTGAGTAGCTCCTCACACTCACTCAGACTTCCCAAATAGCAACCCTGAACCATGCGTAAAATAAACTTCTATGGAGAAGGAGCCCAGCACCTGTGTTGGCCTCTAAATTCAACAGAGGAAGGCCCTGCTGTCTGTTGTCTACTCGGCCTTCAGCATTTATATCAGAGAAGCCCCTTGCTAAGGGAGGAAAGAGCCACACCTGCAGGGAACTGGAATGCAGTCTATTTGGGTTTCTTTACTTTTATTTTTTAATTTACAGCTCTTCGTTGCTGGCTTAATTGTCCTACTTTTGGATGAACTTCTGCAAAAAGGGTATGGCCTCGGCTCTGGAATCTCCCTCTTTATTGCCACTAACATCTGTGAGACCATCGTGTGGAAAGCGTTCAGCCCCACCACTGTCAACACTGGCCGAGGTAAGCACCCTGGGCTCCCCTAGGGACAGGGGTCGGTGAAAAGTATGGACATGTGCAAAGCAGAAGACCAAAGTTCCCGTTCCAAAGAAGCAGCAGCTCCGTTTTAGGTACATTTCTTCTGATTCTTCTGTGTGTATTTTTAAACACAGGCTTCTGCTCCTAATGATACATAACTTACATATTCCACGTCAGAGTATTGCACAATTGTTGACCATGCCAGAGTACAGAATCCTGCCTCTTACTTTCTAGCCAAGTGTGGACTTCTTGGCAAGGATGAGCAGCATTGATTGAAGCAGTCTTCTGATGGACATGTAGGTCATTTCCAGTTTGGGTTGTTGGTGCAACAGAAACAGTGAACAGCCTCATACATTCATGTTTCTGTATTTTGGCAGTTGCTTTCAGTGAATACGTTTCTAAAAATGAAATCACTGAACCAGCCAACGCACTTGTCATGCAGGAAGCAGCTTTCTGTAAGAGGCCTGAACTTGGCGTTCACCTCCTGGCTGTTCCTATTAGGAGTAGATAAGTGGTTTGGGGCAAATCCCTCTACCTCCCAGACTCAGTTGCCAGGATGAAATGAGAAATAACATGAAATGGTCCAGGAATAGGCAGCAGGAGAAGCAGCAGATGGTACCACCATCATGTGTTAGAAACACGAGGAAAGTGCCCTCGTGGGGCAGTATGCAGGCGCCCTTCACAGTACTGATATCAGGACCTCCCACTGCCCACAGGGCACAGCTCTGGACATGGCACTGGCTCCCTGCAGGAGGCGAGACTGTCATTGTGGGAGAGTTACACTGTCCTCCGCGGACATAGAGTAATACAGTGCTCCTGCTTCTTACTTTAGCTGGGGGTTTAACTTCAGTAAGTTTCTTGAAATTTTATAAGCTTCCTAAGCCTTATGAATGCCCCAGCTCCCCAACTTCCCCTCACTTGGGTCTGCTGCCTAATCCTCAGGTCATGTACTCATTCTTACTCTCGATTCCTTCAGTCCCCCGGTAAGCTGCTCTGCTTCCTGGCTCTTTCAGCGCCCTTTCCTGTGGGGTGTATACTGGCTGGATCAGGCTGTGTGGTGGGCAAGCATGTTGTCCTTTCTGCTTGATCGTCAATGTAAGGAGCCGAGAAGTCAAGCCCATCCCCCGCTCCCCTTTGTCAGAGGCAGCCTGCACTTCAAAGCTGGGGATGCTCTACTGCCCGGGGTTTTCCAGGGAAATGAATGGGCAGCTCCGAGCCACTCCAGTGTAGGACCTCTTCAGCTGGAGTTCAGCCGGTCCTGCTTTTGTGGTTTTATAATCGATCATCATTCCACACATCTGGTGGCCTTTGACTCACATGCCAGTGAAATGAGAACTCAAAAGCGTAGACGAGCCCCTTTCTGCAGGTTGAAATCTCTACTGAAGAAATAGGAATGAGGGAGGAGAAAATGCCACTCTACCCCTGTGGTTATGGAATAGGCACCATGGATCTTAAAACTAATTCTGTTTTCTTTTCTAAGAAGCTGTTTGTCTCCTTACCACGTGTGTCCCTCCTTTACCAACAGGGATGGAGTTTGAAGGTGCCATCATTGCACTGTTTCATCTGCTGGCCACACGCACTGACAAGGTCCGAGCCCTTCGAGAGGCCTTCTACCGCCAGAACCTCCCCAACCTCATGAATCTGATTGCCACCATCTTTGTCTTTGCAGTGGTCATCTATTTCCAGGTGCGTCCAGACCCACCACAGGGAGATCAGATGGTCCGGTTTAAGTTTTGGAATGTCTTGGTGTGTGCGCCCTCACCTGCACCCAGGGTGGTGTACATCACCGTATAGTATTGCAGTGGTGGGATGGCATCTGAAAGGAGCAGGTTTCCATGGGAGCTGGACAAGTGTGTTCCATTGAGTCGTGGGGACCTGCCTGAACTAGACAAAACTGAGGCAGATGCCACGTTTCTGAGATGATGCTCCTTTGGGTTGGGCGCAGCAACAGATAAAGAAGATACATCTTTAAGTTCCTAGTTAAAGAGAAGTGAAAAGTCTTCAAGCTCTAAAGCTTCATCGCCATCTTACCCAATGTTTATAGAGTGTTTGTAGGTAGTGTCATTCTGGAAAAGGCCCTTCCTCTGAGAGCTCTTACCTTTCAAATTATTAGTCTGTGCCACTTGCTTGTGAATAAGAGACCTGAGCTGTCAGTTGCTTTTCTGTAGTTGGATTAGTCTTTGTATTTTTTCATCAGCCACTTTGTATTCTGACAGTTACTGAAAAGAAGGGATGGCAGTGGAAAAGACAGTGTAGTGCTTACAGGAACGTCATTATACCACCTAGTGCTTTTTCTGAGGACCAGACAGTCTGTTCCTTCAGCTGGGACTTACTCAGATGCCTGATTACTAAGCTTTAGTGCACCATAAGCTTGGTGTGGATATTTGTAGTTAGGCCATTAAATTTTTATTTTATTTTAAAGCCTCTATATTCTGAATCCTGTTCTAGGCACTGGAGTTTGTAAAAATAATATAAAAGAAAACCTTTCTATTCTCCAAGGGTTTCAGAGGGAGAAGCTATATTCACAGAAAAGCTTAGCTTTTCTGCTTATGATTTAAAACATCGTAAAAGACTGCTCTGGGGTGTGAGGTGGAGGCCATGGTGGCCTTGTCGTGAGGCCCCTGTAAGAGCACAGGAGAGGTAACACCAAGAGAACCACTGTTCGGACTTACTGGGCATGTGTCCTTCAGGCTGTTTTATGGTCCACATTGATGCAGATGTAATGTGATGGACTTTGGGTTGCTTGTTTGTGTGTTTGTTTTTGACAGAAATGGGATTATTCCACTGTGCTGGGCTTCGGTGCATTTGTTAAGCCTTTCTTTCTGGGAACCCTCAGTTAAAGTGGCCCCAAGAGCAGTGATGGGTCAGGAAAGGACATGTGAGCCCTGGAACCAATGTAGGTCCAGCCACCCCCTGCTGGGCTGTGTCTGTGCAGACACTGGAATGAGGCAGTGAGGGTGCTCTGCTTTGTTTGGCTTCTCAGGGCTTCCGAGTGGACCTGCCCATCAAGTCGGCTCGTTACCGAGGCCAGTACAACACCTACCCTATCAAGCTTTTCTACACCTCCAACATCCCCATCATCCTGCAGTCCGCCCTGGTGTCCAACCTATACGTCATCTCCCAGATGTTGTCAGCCCGCTTCAGTGGCAACCTGCTGGTCAGCCTGCTGGGCACCTGGTCTGTAAGTATGGCTGCTTGAAGAAATCCGTTTGAATGCTGTGGTAGTTACAGTGGGGTGCATCCATGTGTCTTCCTTGTGACCAAACATTTTACCCAAAGATATTTTCTAACCATGCCTTTTACCAATCCAGCACAGTAACTTTTCTTTTCAGTAAGAAAATGGCACTGTGGACACTTGAGCAAAATTGTGTTCCTTTTCATCTGCTCAGAGCTACTTTTGTCCTTACGCTAAGGTATAAAGAAACAGCACTCACAGGCTTTCTGTGTGTTCTTCCAGGATACGTCTTCTGGGGGCCCAGCACGTGCTTATCCGGTCGGTGGCCTTTGCTATTACCTGTCCCCTCCAGAATCTTTTGGCTCCGTGTTAGAAGACCCTGTCCATGCCGTTGTATACATAGTGTTCATGCTGGGCTCGTGTGCATTCTTCTCCAAAACATGGATCGAGGTCTCAGGCTCCTCTGCCAAAGATGTAAGTATAAGTTACAATTTAATTAAACCAGGAAACAGGAGCTCTCCCATGTCCCTGGTGTCAGTGGTCTGTGAATACCTGCAGCCGCTTCCTCCTCATTAGGCCGAAGTGTTTATGGCCATAGACGAGCCCAGGGGTAAATTAATGCTCACTTGGGGAGGTGGAGCCAAACTAAAACTAGACTTCGTCATACGACTTCTCTGGAGCAGTTTTTAAATTATCTATATAAATATTACCAGGATGCTAAAGAAGGAAACCTGTGTTTAGAGCCACTATGAAATGTCTACCTGCCTCTCAATTTCAAACTTAAAATTGAACATTGTCTTCTCTTCGGGCATCATGCAGGTTGCAAAGCAGCTGAAGGAGCAGCAGATGGTGATGAGGGGCCACCGAGAGACTTCCATGGTCCATGAGCTCAATCGGTGAGGCTGGCCCTCGGTCCTAGTGGTTTTCTCATAATTGTAGTTTTCTTACACATCAAGCATGTTGATAGGGCTTAGAGATTTCTGGTTAATTAAATCTTATCCAGGTTAGAAAAGGTCCCTGTGTCCACAAGAAAATCAGCATTGCCAATTTCAGATTGTCTTTCAATCCCTAGCAGGGACAGTAGACAATTTTGTTCACTCTCTTTTTTTGTTGTTGTTGTTCACTCTCTTAATGAGAATTCTCTGAAGACTCCAGATTTACAGCACATTGTTCAGGAGAAATAAAATGCAAACCACATAAGAACTCTTAAATTTTCTAGTAGTCACATTTAAAAAGTAAAAATTTGTAATTAATGTAAGGAAAATCATTAGATATTTTATGTTCTTGTCTTCAAAATCTAGTGTGACAACTTTAATATCTCAACTTGGACTAGTCATATTTCACTAGCCACATGTGGCTTGAGTGTCCACTTACTGGACAGCAGCCCTAGTCTAGACCTTATGGTATGTGAGCAGTTATAAAGTTTGATATAAAGTTTCAAGGAGGTAGCGGAATGACCTCTACAAGAGTTAGGTTCCTAAATCAGAGGTAAGTAGGCAAGAAGCCTGCGTCAGGAGTGGGCCACACTACAGGTATTTATGTGGTGACACCTTGCTGACTCATCTCCTCCTCCCCAGGTACATCCCCACTGCTGCTGCTTTCGGGGGGCTGTGTATTGGGGCCCTCTCCGTCCTGGCTGACTTCCTGGGTGCCATCGGATCTGGAACTGGGATCCTGCTTGCGGTCACAATCATCTACCAGTACTTTGAAATCTTTGTAAAGGAGCAGAGCGAGGTTGGCAGCATGGGGGCCCTTCTGTTCTGAGCCATGTCTCCCCTGGACCAGGAAGAGGAGCCATGCTCTGGACTTGCCAAGGAAAGGAGCAACGAATCCAGCACGGGGTACTGCTATGGCATGTGGACCTTTAATTTTTTTTTTTTAATTTCATATTCTTTCATTCCACTTTGTAAAGTGCTAGAAATTTCCAATTTGAAATTTTGCTTTCTATTCTGGCATTGGCAAAATAACCATAGAAGTGAGGTTTTATTCACCTGATAGCCAGAGGTTGGGAGGATAAATGACTGTACTCATGTGTCCATGTAACCTTTGTTTTAACCTTTGCACCTTCTCAGTGCCGTAGGCGGCTGCAGTGGTCCCAGCTGTTCCCTACAAGGGAATAACTTATTGGTTAGAAGCACAAACATTGTTGAAAGGACTACATTTCACTGTGGTAGTAGGTGTGAGGCTGGGAGCAGACTATGTGTTTTCTGGTAGATGTGGGAGACTCATTAGCATGTCCCCTCATGGTCAGGGGTAGGAACAGCTACTTAAAACTTGTTCTCTGGACGACACAATTGTCTTCTCTTTTAAAAGTAGTTTTTAAAAGAGGGATGAATTTCCTGGCAGACACTTTTGGGCTATCTTCTTATCCTCACCTGAGGATATGTTTATTGATTTTTAGAGAGAGAGAAACATCCATCTGTTGCCTCCCGTAAATGCTCCAACTGGGTATCAAACCCACAACCTATTTGATGTACGGGACAATGCTCCAACCTACTGAGCCACCAGCTGGGATTCTTCAGCTTATAAAGCTGTGCGTGGCCAAGCTCGGCACACATTGTGTGGTGGATCCCTGAAGTGATGTCTGTCCAGTTCTTCCAGTTGTCACTGGACCTGGTCCCCCGTGGTTCCTTCACTCCCCACTCAGCCCTAGGCAGGGGCACTGTGGCAGGTGCTCAGACGTGGAGAGACAGTGACTTACGTGGTGTTCACAGGCACCACTCTTCTCCCTGGGCTTCCCAGGAAAGAAGGGCTTAGACCTGAGGTCTGTGATGTGGTTAGGGTCAGAGAGCTGTATGTTGCTTTAATGTTTGATAAAAGACTCACTATTATGTGTAAAATAAGTTTGTTTGCAATAACAGGTGATCGAGATCTTAGGAATTGGAGCGTTTTTTAAGGCCTTTAGGGAGGTCCCTCTCAAGGACAAGTGCCTGGCGGTGTTTGGCAGCAGGGACAGTGAGTAAGGCACTGCAGGCCTGTGGGATTCTTGCTGGAGGGCGCCCCACTTCTCAGAGGGGAGCACCAGCCTGTGGAGAGCAGTGTCCCTCCAGCAGCAGGTACACACTGGCTTCCGAAGCACAGAGGTGGTCATGAGTCAGTAGACGTGGCAAACTCGACACCCGAGTCAGGAGGGCTCCCAGAGTTCTCACTGGCAGTGCAACCAGAAACCAGACTGACCAAGAGACTAGAAGTAACTTGCTTAAAACTACCCGGCAAGTCAGCCACAGAACCATGATGGGCCTGTCCACCACCCCCAGTCCAGGGCATACCACCATGTCACACGCGGCCTTGTCAGACCCAGTCCTGAGCTGAGACCTCCGCTACACTTGGTCTCCTCGGCCCCACCCATAGGAGTCCTGCAGCCTCGAGCAGGAGCCCCGCAGCCCTGCCTGCAGCCTGTAATCATCAGTGGGGCCCTGTGGGGCTCAGGCTCAGGCTCCGGTTAACGACCACAGTGGGTCGGGGCTGACCTCAGCTTCCAGGGACTGTCACTGTGGACGCCAAAACGGCCTAACTGAGATAAGGTGAAAAAGTAACAAATAAAGCCAACGTTTTACAAGCCATTTGTTCATGCTCTTTTGGTTTTCAATACCCTTTATTCCCCAGAAGGCCTGTGAGAGAAGACAGCTGAGGCTGGGTTGGGTCCTGATTTTTTTTTTTTTTAATACATTTTTATTGACTTCAGAGAGGAAGGGAGAGGGAGAGATAGAAACATCAGTGATGAGAGAGAATCATTGATTGGCTGCCTCCTGCATGCACCCCACCGGGGATCGAGCCCGCAACCCAGGCATGTGCCTTGACTGGAATTGAACCCGGGACCTTTCAGTGTGCAGGCCAACGCTCTATCCACTGAGCCAAACCGGCTAGGGCGGGTCCTGATTTTTTACAAGGTGCCCAAGGTCTCCCCTAGGTGCAAGTTCCTCCTCAGAAAGACATTTTGCCTGGAAAACTTTCTTGTGGTAGTATCAATCACATGCTCGGGATTTTGGTAGTTTGAAATACAGGTGATTAAGCAGAAATCCTGATTCTGGGCCGGTGTGAAGACTGCTTGAGCCTCTCCTAGGACTTCGGGAATGTGTCCTGAGGTGCAGAATCCTCCCAGCAGAAGCCTATGGCCCCAGGCCTCCCAGCCCTTTTAGTCCAGACCAAGGGGTGCTGTTGCCCTTGGCAGAGACAATAGGCATCAATACACATCCAGTCACTGACCAGGAGAGTGTCACTGCCCCCAGGACCACAGCATCATGTGGACAACAGTGGCAGGCATGGTGGCTGCCTCCCTAGAATGTGCCATGCAGAAAAGTCTTCCAGTGGTTTTCACTCTGAGCCAAATGACAGACTGTTACCAGGGTAAAGGGAGAAAAAACTTCCCATTCACCCAGATTTCAAAGCTGATATGCTTGTCCTCCGCCACCACTCCGTGCATCATGTTTCCTCGGTGATCCATGATGGAAGCCCTGATGCTGGAGCCCAGCTAAGGAGGAGTCCTGTCCACCTGTCACAGTGCTCGCTCAGGCGGTGCTGGCCAGGGCAGGCTGTCCCTCTGGGGCCACTTGAGGGAAGGTGTTGGGGCATGGCCCCACGGAGGCCATGTGCAGTGAGACCGCAGCAGGACAAGATGTGCAGCCAGGCTGCCCTGTGCTCCCTCTACACTTGCCGGCCAAAGGGATGGGCTCAGATGCAGGGCAGGAGCCAGCAAGCAAGCACTGCAAAACGTGGAGACAGGCCTGGTGTCTGTTTGGACCTACAGAAACTCAGAAAACCTCCTGCTCCCAGGGAAGCACTACATCTTCTCTTGCCTATGCCTGTGGCCAGACCAACCTCACCTGGGAACAGAGTCAACAGAACCCACATGTGAGCAGCCACATATATGGTTTTGGTGCCAGGCTCTGTCTTGGCTCACTGTGACACCTGGCTGGCCCCTCTGCACCTCACTTCCCACCTGTGCACGAGAAGTTGAGCAGTGGCTCCTACTCATCATGGGAGTGATGATTCTGTGGGGCAGGCACTGTGATAGCTACCGAAACATGATCTCATCTACCACTCCCATGCCCTGGCTGCTGGAGGCCTTGGGAGGAAACCTCTTGTTCTGGTTTTATAGGTACAGAAATGGAATATGGCCAGAAGTCACACAACCACGTAGCAGCAGAGCCAGGACAAAATGCCCAAGGCCCTCTTCCTCTACTCCAAGACCCTGCTTGGCTGCTGGGCCTGTCTGCTGGTACCTTTGCTATGGGCCTGGCTGGGAAAGGAATGAGGGGCTCAGGGAACATGGTCCACTCCTAGGAGCCTCCCCATGCTGCCTGTGGCTGGGTCCCTGCAGGGAAACTGCTTTAACTTGGGGTCCCCGCTCCAGTCCCACCACCTTCCTCTACCTGCTGACACCCACTCCCCATGTCCCTCCCCAGCAAGGCTATCATTTAAAATTAAAGGTAAGATAAAGAATTTCCCAGACAATGAAAAGTTAAAGGAGTTCATCACCACCAAACCAGTATTATAAGAAATGTTAACTGGGGGGAGGAGGACACATATGTAATACCTTAATCAATAAAGAAATTAAAAAAAAAAATGTTAAAGAATCTTTAAGCCTGGCTGGCGTGGATCAATGGTTGAGCATCAGCCTATGAACCAAGAGGTTACAGTTTGATTCCCAGTCAGAGCACATTCCTAGGTTGCGGACTGATCCTCAGTGGGGAATGTGCAAGAGGCAACCGATTGGTGATTCTCTCTCATCATTGATGTTTGTATCTCTCCCTCTTCCTTCCTCTCTGAAATCAATAAAAATATATATTTGATAAAAAGAACCTTTAAGAAGAAGGGGAAAATGTAAATATGAATAATAAAATGGCAATAACTATGTACCTAAAAATAATCACTTCAAATATAAGTGGATTAAATGCACCAATCAAAAGACATAGGATAGCTGAATGGATAAGAAAACAAGACCCATTCATATGCTACCTACATGAGAAGCTATTTGGATTAAAAGACACACAAACTATAAGCAAAGGAATGGAAAAAGATTTCGTGCAAACGAAAATGAAAAAAACAAAATGACATATTAGACAAAATAGACTTTAAAGGCTATAATAAAATACAAGCACATTACATAATGATAAGAAAAAAATTCAACAAGAGGATATAATCCTTGTAAGCAATTATACATCCCACATACCAGTAAGAGCACCTAAATATATAAGGCAGATATTGATGGACATAAAGGGAAAGAGCGACAGTAATGCTGTCATAGTAAAAAATTTAACACTCCATTGACATCAGAAAATCAAGGAAACAGCAGTCTTAATTGACACATTAGACCAGATGAATGTAATATTTTTAGAACATTTCACCACAAAGCTGCAGAATATACATTCTTTTCAAGCTCACATGGAACATTTTCCTGGATAGACTATAAGTTAGGTTACATAACAAGTCCTAATAAATTTAATAAGATTGAAATCATATCTAGCATCTTATCTGACCATAACAGCATAAAACTAGAAATCAATTACAAGAAGAAAATGGAAAAACACACAAACACATGGAGACTAGTATGTTATTAAACAATGCATGGTTAGCAATGAGAAAAGAAGGAAATCAAAAGATAACTTGAGACAAATTAAAATGAAAACACAACAACCCAAAATCTATGGGATACAATGAAAACAGTCCTAAGAGGGAGATTCACAGCAATACAGGCCTATAAACAAGAAAATATCTCAAATAAGCAAGCTAACCTTAAAACTAAAGCAACTAAAAATGAACAACAAACAAAAACCAAAGTAAGTAGAAGGAAATAATAAAGAGCAGAACTGAAATAAGTAAAATAGAATTGTTAAAAAAAATACAAAAGAAAGATCAATAAAACCAAGAGCTGGTTCCTTGAAAAAAATAAACACGATTAATGAACTTTTAACCAGACTCATCATGAAAAAAAAAAAATAGTGAGGACCCAAATAAATAAAATTAGACATGATAAAGAAGTGACAACTGACACCACAAAAATGCAAACAATTATAAGAAAATGTTATGAACAATTATATGACTACAACTTGAACAACTTGGAAGAAATTAATAAATACCTAGAAACATACATTTTTTTCCAAAACTGATTTAAGAATAAACAAATCTGTACAGACTGATTACTATCAATGAAATCAAATCAGTAATCAAAAAACTCCCAACAAAGTCCAGGACCAGATGGTTTCACAAGTGAATTTTAACAAGCATTCAAAGAAGAATTAACACATATCCTCAAACTATTCCAAGAAATTCAAAAGGAGGGAAGGCTCCCAAGCGCATTATATGAGGCCACCAATATCCTGATTCCAAAACCAGACAAAAACATTACAAAAAAAGAAAATTACAGGTCATTATCCATAAGGAACATAGATGCAATAATCCTCAACAAAATATTACCAAACAAATTCAGCAATAATTAAGAAGATCATATACCATGATCAAATGGGATGCAAGATTGGTTCAATATCTGTAAGTCAATTAACATGATACACATGAGAAACATGGATGAGAGAAAAACATCAACAATCAACCACCTCCTGCATGCCCCGTACTGGGGATCTGGGGATCGATCCTGCAACCTGGGCCTGTACCCTGACCAGGAACTGAACCGGTGACCTCTTGATTCCTGGGTTGACGCTCAACCGCTGAGCCACACCAGCTGGGCTAAAACTGTTTTCTTTAAGATCTGGAACAAATTAGTGTTGTCCACTTAACCACTTTTATTAATTTAGTATTAGAAGTCCTAGCCACAGCAATCAGACACGAAAAAGAAATAAAAGGCATCCAAATTGGAAAGTAAAAGTAAAATTGTCATTATTTGCATAAAAAAAAGACATATAGGGCAATGGAACAGAATAGAGAGCCCAGAAATAAGCCCATGCCTATATGGTCAATTAATATTTGACTAAGGAGGCAAGACTATACAATGGAGTAAAGACAGTCTCTTCAATAAATGGTGTTGAGAAAATTGGACAGATACATGCAAAAAAATGAAACTAGACCACTTTCTTACACCATATACAAAAATAAACTCAAAATGGTTTATTTTGTATAAAACAAACAAACAAAACAAAAACCATACACAGTAAACTCTAACATTGCTCTTAGTAATATTTTTTCCTGATATTTCTCTTAGGGAAGGAGAAACAAAAGAAAAAAAAACTAAGCAGGAATAAATCAAACTAAAAAGGTTTTGCATAGCAAAGAAAACACTCAACAAAACAAAAAGACAACCTACTCAATGGAAGAACATTTGCCAATGATACATCTGATAAGAGGTTCCTATCCAAAATTTATAAAGAACTCATACAACTCAACACCAAAATAACAAACAATCCAATGGAAATATGAAAAGATGCTCAAGGTAATCATCAGAGAAATGCAAATTAAAACTACAATGAGATACCACCTCACACTTGTCAGAATGGCTATCATCAATAAATCAACAAACAAGTGTTGACAAGGATGTGGAGAATAGGGAACCCTCCTGCACTGTTGGTGGGATTCCAAATTGGAGCCACTGTAGAAAACAGTGTGGAGGTTC